CTCCGGGATGGGGGCCGAGAGGACCCTGTTGGTGAAAGGGGTCCTGGTCCTGACCTGGATGATGGGGTCACCTCGCCCTTCGGCCAGCTCCCTCTCCAGGGCGCTGACCTTGTTCATGAGCGCGTTGAGGCCGGGGTCGTTGGAGGCGCCGGCCGTAGGGATGTTGGCCGACTGCTTGGCCTCCATCTGAGCCAGCCTCCTTTCCAGCTGGGCGATGACCTCGTCCCGGGGGTCCCTGTCGGCCGCGGCGGCGCCCGGCTGGTTCCTCAGGCGCTCGTTGTGAGCCGCGTTGATCTGGTGACGCACGTCATCCTCGTGCAACTTCCCCTTGCCCTTGTCCGGGCGGGGCTGGTCCGCTGTCCGGGACACAGACCCCAAGCTTTCCCTTGGCGAGCCAGGACGAGGATCACCAATCCGTCCCGCCATCCTCTCCGAAACCGGATGACTGCGCGTGTCACCTAGCCTATTGAAGGCAGAGGCTTTTCCACGCGCTGGGGTCTGCCCGGGCCGAAGAGGGGAAGCAGAGTGGGAGTGGGACGACGCCGTGTCCTGGGCCATTACCCCCTCATCGTTGCCTATACGGACGGCCAACGGTTGGGGATGAGGAGGTGGAGTGACATTTCCCCCGGTCCTTGGCAAGAGTGCGCTAAGGACGGTGGGGTTCTGAGCCAGGCTGGCGATGATGACCGACAACGCGGCCTGGACCTGTGGATCCACGGACGGAGAGGCCGCGGCCATAGGCTGGGCCGGGGCGTGGTCCGTCTTCTCAGCTCGTTTCTTGTCCAAGCCGATGCGGGCGTCGGGGACTCCGCCGTTGAGTTGGTTGCGGAGGTCCGTCGTGAGGTTGAAGGCCTCCTGGAAGAGGTCCCCTCCGCCGGCCTGGTCGGCCGTGGCGTCCTCATCGTGCTCCCTGGGCTCTTGGTCCTCAGGGATGACTTTGCTGACGAGGTTGCGGTTTGACTTAGTTCTCCCCATGATCAGTGGTTAGCTGTGCTTGGTAGCGACGAAGAGTGCTAACTTGATTGTTCTAGCTCTCAACGAGAGCACCAAATGATAGAGTATATCTCTAGAGAGAAGTGAGAGCTAGAGAGAGAAGTAGTATATTTGCCTGATATTAATGAATTCTGAACCCCTACAACTACTCCCAAGGGGAGTATTTATAGAGAAAATACGGGCTGGGCTCCCAAGCCTTGGGCTTGGGAGGCTCATTTACAACTGGACCGCTACTGGGCCGAATACAAAGCCACTAATGGGCTGTACAAATGAATAAGTATAAAATCCGGTTCTGGGAGGTCCTCGTGGCCGACGAGGGCGTGGCCGACGAGGGCACGGCCGACGAGGGCACGGCCGACGAGGGCACCCGGGTTCCTTGGACTCAGGACCATAATCATGGCCCCTTTTCGGCCGACGGGGGCGTCTTGGCCGACGAGGGCGCCACTTTGTTGTCTTATGCTTTCTGTTCTTCCGAGTATGTGGGTCCGGGGGCTCAGACCCATATACTCCATCACATTGTTAGATCCCTCTTGATTTTGATGATGCATCTCTATTTGACTTTGAGCACTTGGCTTGTAATATTTTGTAATTCTTGTTGCATTTAATTTGTCAAAAGAAAATTACTCAAAAGAAAGAAAAGATTAAAAAGAAGAGTACTAGAAAGAGAAAAGAAAAGGACGTATAAAAAAGAAATGAAAACCAAAAGAAAAGGTATGCACAAAAGAGTCAACCGGTAATCTTACACTTAGCAGCAAAGTGCTGTTAATTCAAGAGCAGGCTGCTGATAGCATGCTTACTCTCGCAATAATAGCAGGCTGATGTTTAAATAATCCAAACCTGTTGTCAAGCAGAACTCTCAAAGGAAACCAAATTTGAGACTTCTGTAAGAGGCAAAGTTGAACGTCAAAATATGCAACATGTGACCATGAGACCCACGAGCAATCTAGAAACTGTAAAACTGCAAAAAGGTAGAAGTAAATGTTTACTTACATTCTGAACCTGAAGCATTACCTTAACATTTAATTTCAAAATCTGTGATGTAGTATTCGTGATAATATGTAGATATTATTATCCATGTAATCAAAAGTTACATTATTGTTATAAAGGGACTCATATACAACAGAAGCATTCAATGATGGCTCAAGCACTTTCCTGAAATGATTTTACATATACGGCAAAGATAATTCAGCCACACCTCTTGAAATAAGCAAAATTCTTGATGGGCCCGCATACAAACAAAAAGGACACAACCCGCACCACATGAAGACAAAAAGAGCCATGTTGCTTCACAGTCACCAAAATGATCAATCAACGCTCAAGATTGAATCTCCTCGACCATTGAGAAATATTCAACAAGTCAAGTCTATAAATATAAAGTCAAATTCAAAGTGAAGAAGAAGGACATAAGTAGCCTTTGGAAAGTCAATACTATTAGTGAAAAACCTAGCTTGTAGAGGATAAGACTCATTAGATTTTAGCAAGTCAATGCTATTAGTGAAAAACCTTGTAGAGGATAAAACTGAGTAGCTTTTAGAAAGTAAATGCTATTAGTGAAACACTTATAGGACTAAGTAGCTTAGACTGATGTTTAAGCTCCTTGAGAAAAACCTCACAATCTATGCCTATGATCAACAGTAGATTGGACACTAAGTGTAATCAATATATTTACTTAGTGCAAATGCCTCAGCTCGATGGTGGGACTGAATGTAGGAGGATTACACTACCTCTGAACGAGACCAGGATATATCATGTGTCATCTTTACTTTCAGTACCCACACAACCACACTCGTCTGAAAAACCTATACAAACACATCTGTCAAACGGCTTTTACATTGACCAATGTACTGTATTAATATAGAGTCATTCTATATATCATCTCCCAAACACATCTCTCAAGCATTTGTTTCGGTTAGTAAGCAGCTTTTTGAACATCATGCATGTTACTTCACCTGTCTTACTAACATAACTGTGACTTTAACAGCGAAGTAAACACGTCCTAAGTAATTTTATCTCCCTATCAAATTGAGATGAAGGAGAATAGTAGAATCAGATGAAACATAACACACTAGTATACCATAACATCATAACCTTTAGGGTATGTTTGAGAGTTTTAAGGGAAGGATAAAGGATGGTTTTGAAGGTTAGTCATTGAAAGGGAAGGGTAGAAACGGTTGAAAACCCTTCTTCTTGTTTGGGAGTTTGAAAAAATAAATGTTGTGGATGAATTATAATTAAAATCACTTCACATATATGACGAGTTCAAATAATTGAGTTTATATTTATATAAAATTGAACTAAAGTTGTTATTTAATTAGTTATCCTTCAAAATCCCCCAATTTGGAGAAACTTTAAAATTGAGCATTTGAAAGGTTTTGTAACCATTAAAACCACCTCCTCCATATTTTTAGCTCTCAAACATGAAAGGGAAGAACATAAACCCTTGTAAAATATTCCTCCCTTCCAAAACTCAACTCCCAAATACACCCTTAGTCTATTATACGGAGTATGTAACATTCATTGCTTTTGTCTGTTCCGTTACATAGAGCCAATAGACGAGTAGTACCAAAAAATCTAGTGTATGTTCAAAATAAAGTTTGTAATCTAAGATCGACTCATCGACATTGTAAAAGTAGAACATAAAAGATAAAAATCGCAAATTATGAGGTACACTCGGGTGTACATGTACACCCGGTATTTTTGTAATATACATCAACTTTAAATCTTTGATTCTCTCATCCCTGCTCTATGCCCGTTGCTTTTCTTTCTTCTTCCGCCACCATCCTCGCTTCCCTGTTGCTTTTGTTTCTTTTTCCGCTGCCATCCTCTTTGGTCTTTCCTGCTAGTTCGTTTTACATTTTGTGTTGTTTTTATTTTATTTTATTTTGTTTCGTTACTTTTGTTGTTAGTTTACTTTCATTTCTTTTGTCTTTTATCTTTTCTTCTTTTCGTTTCTTTTATTTCTTATTTCCTTCTTTCTATTTCTTTATACGAAGTATATGTTAATATTGAGCACATTAGAAATGAGTTTAATTTTAAACTCAAATAAGTAAGGCGTCTAAAAAGAATGAACATGCACAAATGAGCTTTTGAATTTTTTAAAACTCATTTTGTAAGTGATATATGTCCTAGTAAATTTGTTATATCAATGCATATTTCAAAAGTCGCATATTACATTAGATTACATTTGATTATAGACACGAGACTACAAATCATGATACTCAATCACACGATTCTAATAACCAATAACGGAGGTTCGATGCTCACTGAAAATGTCTTGATGCTCAACGAATAAAACTTACAGTTTTCATATCAATGCTCATTTTGTAAGTTACATATGTTCATTTGTATAAGTCTGGTGCTCATTAAAAATTCATTAACGCTCATTTAACAGAAATCCTGATTTCCATCGGTCTCAGTAGAGGAGGTTTGATACTCAATGAAAATATTGTGATGTTCAACTAACAAACCTTACGATTTTATTATTGATATCAATGCACATTTTGTAAGTTGCGTATACTCATCTGATACTGATCTTATACTTATTTTCTAAATGTCATATCAATGCATTTTTTTAAAAGTACTATTTTACGTTAGATTCATATATTGAAATTAATAGGAGTTGATTATAAATATAACTTAATAAGTTTTACGATAGAAAAAATAACAAAACGAAAATGAATTAGAAGTTATGAAGCAGAGATCACGATTTTGAATATTAGACTCTTAATACTCAACATATTAGGTTGGATGCTCTTTAAAAATTCATTAATGCTCATTCATCATAACCCGTGATTTTTATCTCAATAGCGGAAATTTGATGCTCAATTAAAATTTTGTGATGTTCAACTAGCAAACCTTACAATTTTCATATGAATGTGCTTTTTTGAGTTATGTATGCTCATTTGGTAGTGATGTTATATTCATTTTTAAAATGTATATTGAAATTAATGAGTGAATTATAGGTATAATTTAATAATATTTTATACGTAGTATAAGAAAAAAGAAGATATGAAGTAGTTCTTGGGACCAATTCACTTGTAAAAGTATGATCAGTCAACAACAATTAAACTACAAAAATGAATAAAGACAATGCACAATGCCCTTGCTCATATAAAGTCGGTCACCTGCAAATGCTCTTATAGTCTTATCTATAGCGAAAATATATATATGTCATATTGGGAATCCATAATAATTTCGAAAGGAATGTAGCAACGGAAAATTGGAAACCATCCCTAGTCATCATCGCTACATGATAATAACAATAATCATAATAATAAACCGGCCAGACAACCTAATCCGGGCAATAATTAGTACGAGTAGTTCTTTATTTTTTATAATCAAGCGAAGAGAGGGGTATGGTTAGCAAAGTTGGCAGATGGGTGGGGAGGTGCAGCAGCTGAAGCAGGAGGCAGAGGGGGAGGAGGAGGAGGGAGCCTATTCTTTCCGCTGCCACTTTTTCTTGATGAGCTGAGGGATGAACAGAACCCTCCTCCTCCTCCTGCTCTCGTTGAAGATTTCTTCAAGATCCCCCCAGGCTTTGAAGATCCATTACAACTGCTTCTTTTACAGCCCTCCAGAAACAATCCCGCGTAGCTCCTGCATCCTTTGAGCCTCTTGTTGTAGGGGTTCTCTGGCTTCGCCAGATCCTCCACGCTCCTCACGTTTGTTAATGATGTGAACGATTGCGACTTCCCATTGTAATGCTTTGACAACCCTTTTCTGCCATTTCCAAATCAAATATGTTCAGCTCTTTTTAGTTTCCATATATACAAGCTAGGGGGTTATTATGCTTACTTGAAAGGAAGATCCTGAAGAAGGGCTGACATATTTTGCAAGGGCTCATCACATGATGGGGATAAGTGCTCTTCTTCTTCTTCTGAGGAAAAAATGTCACCACCATAGAAATCAGAACAAGAATCAGAAGATGATGGTGATAGAGAAATTGAGGAATTCTGAACATGCTTATTCTCGTCCCCGTCCATGGATTTAATTGACCCCCAAATTTGCTTTCTTAATCAATGATCAACCGTCCCAGCAAACTGCACTCGATTTCACCGAAGACCCAAACACCCACAAAGTGCAGGCAGCAGTCTTTAAACAAGTCCTTCGGTTTTCTTGTTCATCAAGAATGTCAAAGAACAATGGTTGTGGCTACGAAAAAGGTATGGCCTCAATGAATAGATATAATTTAGGATAAGATCAAAGGCTGGTGTATATATACGGAGCGAGTATTATTACTCTGTCATAATTTTTCTTTTTTGTTGTCCCAAAAATTTTGATACTTTCTTATTAAAGCAACTAATTTGTGGTTATGCAAATTTTCCTTTGAATCTCAATCACACATTTTTTACTATTCTTATTTCTCACCTACTTTAAACTTGACAAAATATACCGAGAGAGGTAGTATATTATTACTCCGTATCCCAAAGATGATTTGATAGGTCGGAGATTCGGCGTTATCCACTTTACCCTCGGTATGTCTGTCTGTCATCCGACCCACTATCCACCCCGTCAACCATTTGAAACGTCAATGAAGGAAAAATGTTTAAAAAACAAAAATCAACAACGTTTCATTCCTGACGCAATTAAACAACAATACTACTCCGTATTAAAGTCCAAAAAGTGAATATATTCGTCTAGTAGATAAAGTAGGGTAGGGTTGGGTCCGGAACGGTCCGGTAAATTAGTAAAACCCGTAATATATCCGTGAGATTTTTAACGGTCCGGTATGGTCCAATTCCAAAGATGGAATCGTTCGGTACCATGTCGTTTCGGAACGCTACAAAACGGTACGGTACAATGCCAACCAACTCACATGAAGTGTTGATATAAGCACAATAAATTGCATATGTAGTACTAAACTTCACAAATACAAAAATAGTACGTCACAACTAAGACAAAGTATAGCAAAATGATCAAACACGAGATAAATATCATCTTTAATTTATAAGTTCATGTGAAAATATAAAAAAATATCATCAAATTGTTGAATATAAGAGATATCTTCAATGTTCTTCTTATTAAATATTACTCTGTAATTCTAATTTAATTTATAGTTAAACCTTGAGAGGTAAAATTTTAACCATATTAATTAAGTTGTAAAATTGCACAAACATGATACGATAAAAAGTCATGTACACTACATTAATAGAAATGAATAGTCATTAATGATTTCTAAAATTTTAATATTATTTCAATACATACCAAATTAATAAGAAGTATATATATAAACACATTTAGCTATTTTAGAGACGCATGAATATATAGTTTGGCTATAAAATTGTTGATCTATAAAAGAGATCTATTGGTATAGAAAAAATATAAAAAATTCAAATGCATTATTTTCGAACGGTCCGGTCCGGTATTTTTCGGTTTTCAAAATCTAGGACCGGTCTCGTACCCATTTCAAACGGTACGGTTTTGGTACGGGACAAAAATCTATAGAACCGTTTAAATACCCGATATTCGGTTCGGTACTGTTGGGATATATTATCCCGGCCTATTACTGTTCAGGACCCAAGACTTTACGTAGTACGAAGCCCAATCAGTAAGACTCATTTTAGCCTATCAGACCTGTTTCGGCCTTTGGGTCCATTTCTGTCCATTCGGTCCGTTAGGGTGGAGAGCCCCCCCTTCCCCCTTTATCTATAAATAGGAGGAGTTCCCTCCTTATCAAAGATCCTTTTTCAGCTTCTTCTTCCTCCCCCTTTTAGAGCTAGCATCAACACTCAATTAATGGAAGCTTGTACATTGTAATGGTGAGGAGAGCATTAATAAAATGAGAGAGCTTGTTTTACAGTGTATTATCGCCCCATAGCCACGAAACCCTCCCAGAGGGGGTGTTGAACTTCCGGGCTGCGGCGAATAAACTCAACACTGGCGCCGTCTGTGGGAACTTGTTCTAAAAGAATCATGTATTCCTGTTAGAAAATAGAAGAGGTTGTTGGTTGTATGAGTAGAATAAGTGATTTTAGTGAGGTGTAATGTAGATGATGTGTTTTAGAGGAGAGCTCTTGTCTCTAGAAAAGTAGTATTGTATTGATGTTTCTTGGTTTTGCTTGGTTTGCAAATGAGTACAATGAGTCCTATTTATAGGAGCTAGAGGATCATTCTAGAGTATTCTACATCTATGTCTAATTACTCTAGATTTTACATAAGAATTCTCTAGTAGAGAATTTTCTAGAATACTTTCTAGCTTTAACTCTCTAGATCATCTCTAGCCTTTTCTACATAGAATATTCTAGATAAATGCATCACTATTTAATACTCCTCCTTGATGCATTTGTCGGTGACTCCAAGCATTCTTCGCAGAAACTGGAATCTGTCTCTTGGCAGGGCCTTCGTGAAAATATCTGCCAATTGTTCTTCTGTTGGGCAGTACTTCATCTCAATATGCCCCTTTGCTTGGACATCTCTCAAGAAGTGATACTTGATATCGATGTGCTTAGTACGATGGTGCTGAATTGGATTTTTAGCCATCGCAATAGCAGACTTGTTGTCGCAAAATATTTGAGTCGCAGAACTTTGTAATTCTCCCATGTCTTCTAATATTCTTTTTAGCCATATAGCTTGGCACGCTGCTCCGGCTGCTGCAACATACTCGGCTTCGGCTGAAGATAGTGCAACAGAATCTTGCTTCTTTGATCCCCATGAGAAAATTCCCGAACCCAGCTTAAATGCGTAACCGGAGGTGCTTTTCATGTCATCTTGAGATCCAGCCCAATCACTGTCGCTATATCCAGTTAGTCGTGAGTCAGGAGTTGTTTTGTACCAAATACCATAATTGATGGTTCCTTGTAGATACCTAAGGAGTCTCTTTGCCGCTCCATAATGAGTCTCAGTTGGACTTTCCATGAACCTCGAGAGCAAACTTGTAGCATACATGATGTCCGGCCTCGAACCCGTTAAGTAGAGTAGACTCCCAATCAAACTTCGGTAATTGGTTGTGTCCGTCTGCTTTGACCCATCTTCTTTCTTCAATTTTTCATTAGGAACCAGTGGAGTAACGACGGCTTTGCAGTCTTGCATTTTAAACTTCTTTAGCATGTCCTTAATATATTTTTCTTGAGATAAGAATATGCCTTCTTCTTCTTGACTTATCTCCGTGCCAAGGAAGTAGTGCATTAATCCCAAGTCACTCATCTCAAAAGTGTTCATCATGTCTCTCTTAAATTCTTCAATTAATTTGGAATTATTTCCCGTGACAATTAAGTCATCAACATATAGAGAGACGATGAGAATGTCAGATTTACCTTGGGATTTGATGTATAGTGTAGCCTCGTTCTTACTCCTCCTGAACCCTTGACGGGTGAAGTATCCATCAATCTTGCTATACCACACTCGTGGAGCTTGTTTGAGCCCGTAAAGCGCTTTCTTTAGACGAAGAACTTTTCCTTCTTCTTTGATGAATCCTTCTGGTTGTTCCACATACACTTCTTCTCGTAGCTCTCCATTTAGAAAGGCTGACTTGACGTCTAGCTGATAAATTTTCCATTTCCTCTGAGCTGCAAGAGCTATGAGTGTTCTTATTGTGTCCATCCGGGCAACTGGTGCAAACGTCTCTGTGTAGTCAACTCCCGGTATTTGAGCATACCCCTTTGCAACCAGCCTTGCCTTATGCTTCTAAATTGAGCCATCGGGGTTCAGTTTTGTTTTATACACCCATTTGACTCCAATAACCTCCTTGTTATGTGGAAGATCTACCATTTCCCAAGTATCATTCTTTTCTATCATTTTGATCTCCTCCTCCATTGCTTTAATCCAAACTTTTTCTTTGGAGGCTTCGGTGTAGCTATATGGCTCCAAGGAGCAAAAGTTGCATGTTTCATAGATGTCAGTAGACTCATATAGGTCTGCTAGAGTTCTTACCCGAAGAGGTGGGGACTCTGGTGAGGAGTCGTGATTTCTTGATGTATTAGCTTCAAAAGAGGATCTTGGAGTAGACGTGGGGCTTTGTTGATCGTGATTTTCCTCTTCTGGTATTTCCTCTAGTTGGATAGTAGTTGTCTTTCTTTCAACTTTTTCTGTCTCCCAATTCCAAGAGGCTTGCTCGTCAAACTCCACATCTCGACTTGTCACCAACTTCTTTGTCTCGAGATTGTAGATTCGATATCCCTTGGATTTGGAGCTATAGCCAAGGAAGATGCCCTTCTCTGTCTTGTCTTCTAATTTGTGTCTTTTAACAGAGGGAACATGAATGTAGCATATGCTTCCGAAGACCTTCAAATGTTTGGCTGAAGGCTTTTGTCCCGACCATGCCTCAATAGGTGTTTTGTTTAAAACCGCCTTAGTTGGACACCGGTTTAGAAGATAGACTGAAGTATATACTGCATCTGCCCAGAACATTTTAGGCATTCCTTTTTCAGCTAACATAGACCTTGCCATCTCCATGACTGTGCGGTTCTTCCTTTCGGATACCCCATTTTGTTATGGAGTGTATACTACTGTTAGTTGATGCTCTACACCTTCATCTTCACAGAACTTGTCAAATTCTTTTGAGTTGTATTCGGTACCTCGATCGCTTCTCAACTTCTTGATTTGATGACCACTCTGTTTCTCCACGAAGTTCTTGAATCTCTTGAATATTCTAAAGACTTCGGATTTTTCTTGGAAAAAATACACCCATGTCATCCTAGAGTAATCATCGATGAAGAGTATGAAGTACCTGTTCTTCGAAACTGAAGGCGTGCGCATTGGACCGCAGACATCAGTGTGGACAAGCTCTAGTATCTGTTTGGCTCTCCATGTCTTTTCTGTTGGAAATGGTTGCCTGTGCTGCTTCCCAACCATACATCCTTCACATACTCCTTCTTTTTCATCCAGTAGAGGCATGTCTCTCATCATCTTCTTTTGGTGTAGTAATCTCAAGGCATTGAGATTGAAGTGCCCAAATCTTCGATGCCATAGACTCGTATCACTCAGTTGAGCCACCATCGCCTTTTGTGGATATTGCCATTGAATAGGAAAATTT